AGAGAGAGAGAGAGAGAGAGAGAGAGAGAGAGAGAGAGAGAGAGAGAGAGAGAGATTCGCGCGGCTCCCGTTTTCAGAGCCCGCGTCGCGCAGTTGTTCCAGGTTTCAGGCACCGCGTACCTCGCTTTATGAAGATTAGATCCGTCCGGGGCGTATCCCACACGCGTGTCGCACAAGTCCCGGACAATTTTCTAGCACGGATAGACACGGATAACCGCGTGTCGTAAAGGTAACGAGCAGCGGAACGGCAAACGTCCCACGGCTGGCGCGTTTACAACAGAACTGTAATTTTCGAAAATTCGATAGAAATGTAGCTCGTCATTATGAGAGGAGAGCAAAAGTATACGCAAGCGAACGCGCGTCGATTATGATACCGCTACGATATCTGTTTTCGGCATTTTGATAACTACGCGAATTACGCACGTTCGCTCGCGCAAAAAAGGCTCCTGCGGAGCGGAATGTCACATGTCAGCCTGTCACTTACAACCGGGAACGTCGTCCGATTGTTTTAACAAGCGAGTTTTTAATTTTAAATAAAAACATGACTCCTCTCTCTCTCTCTTTCGCCGCCATCCGCGCTTTGTTGTCTGACTGGCAAAAGATCGCTTGACATTTAATGCTCGTATTATACTCGTCTCGTGCACTCTATACGTCGCAGCCATGAATCGGATCAAAATTCGCCACGAGTTTCAAACGATTTAAAAGCGAAAAAGAAGATGGAGAAAAAAGAGAAGAAAATGTCACCTCTCGTTCCGCCAGCCGTGATACTTGATCGCGAGAGATCGATTTCACTCCTGCTCCTTTGTAAGCGTTATTTACAATTAAATTAAAACGCTGGATTCGCGTCCGGCGGATGAAGTCTTCGGGAGCGCGACGCCGAATGTATTGTTAAGGATAAGCCGATCTTCTCGATATTCAATTTATACGCCGCAATGCGTTTGATCGATGCGCAGCGTGAATGCAATTCCCATCGAATCTGCATACGGCAATATTCCCTTGGCTTTGTATATTTCAATATATGTACACACACACATCCGCCGAAACGTGGAACTTGCGATGAACAAGGGCACCGAATCCGCCGTTATCCATTGCCTGTATTTGGCAACGATAACTAATACGACTGCTCGAGGCGATTCTAATAGCGAGATTCATCTCCTCTCGCGGTAACGAAGCCGACCAATATCTTCCTTCTTTTTGCTTTCACTTTCTGCCGTTTTTGTTTTGTTTCCGCTTTTAACGAAACGAGAAGGATGGACAATATATCGTGATGTATAACGGCTGTTCATCGATGAACGGACGTTTCGATAGGAATTTGCCGTTGACAGATTACATCGGTTCAACATATTTGTGTAATTCCGTAATAAAAAGAAATAGGTTCGATTCAGCATCGTTGCGATAAATAAGTTATAATAAATATATTGGAAGTAATCAAAGAATATACCTAAATCAACGTAACTTAATTACGAAATAATTAAAACATAATTAAAGTTCCATTCATATAATAATTCCGATATAAATAACTGTGACGTAAACGTGACACTGCATAATAGTTTTTGATTTTAATTAATTTGCGAATCTAAATTGTTAAACGTTAACTCGCTGAAATCCTGACATTTTCATAAATCCGGTGTTTATCTTAAAAGTATGTCACGTTTTGATGAAAACAATTAAATAATGACGAGCAGAAGGGGACGGAGAGGGGGAAGAAGAGAGAGAGAGAGAGAGAGAGAGAGAGAGAGAGAGAGAGAGAGAGAGAAAGAGAGACATACAGCAGTAATGAATATTCAAACAGCAGATGAGACTGCACTCGGCGCGATTCGAGTTTACCGAATTTTGTCGCGACGCGACTTAAGATCTTCAACGACACTTCATCCTCAGCATATTTCGGGAGGAAGGAGACCTCCGAGAAGGAGACCAGGAGGCGTACAGTGTTTAATCACAGCGAGAGCTCGAAGGACGTCTCCGTAAGAGAACGACGGACATTGAGAACGAGCGGCAACCAGGTTGAACCCCACGAAGTAAGGGCAGGGTTGGAAATAATCTTTTAAGGCGGCCCGAAGAAGTTGCCGCAGTTATAAACAGAAATTTAGATCCAGTTGCTAAAGTAAACAGCGGGGAGCGTCGCTCGAGTGCTCCCTGTCCCATTCCATCCCTTTCCAGTTTCTCTCGCCTCCGTTGGTCCTCGATCCACGCACCAATCTAGGTAACCCCGGGGATACCCCGCACTCAACTGCGGGGATAGAGAGAGAAAGAGAGAGAGAGAGGGGAGGGGAGAACGGCCATCCTCGCGTTTCACTGAACTTTTCACTTAGCCACGGTCGCTGATAAAAAGTTGGCTGATCTAATAACCGGCGACACACCAGTGACTCCAACCACGATCGAAGTTTCTCAAACGATTTCGCGGTGAGGTTGCCGCGAGCGACAACTCTCAAAAATGTGCCGCGTGTGACCTAGACGGGACTCGATGGAAAAAGGGGAGATCTTACTTCGCCGCGAGTTTTCCAGATGGGACGGGAAAGAATTTTATTCCCGATGATGTCAAAAAGAAAGAGAAAGAAAGAGAAAGGGAGAGAGAGAGAGAGAGAGAGAGAGAGAGAAAAGGGGGGAAGAGATAGAGCATGCGGTGGAAATTTGCTGATTTATTCTCGGAAGGTTTCCTCGGAAATACGTACATCATCCCTTTCGGCGCGTATATCAAATGTCGGTCGTACAAACTTGTCTTAATCTTCAATCACCCATAATTTAAAAACTGACTGATTACGTTCTTTCTTTTATTTTTAAGGACAATTTTAAGTTAATCGACAAGCTCATAAACATAAAATAGCTTGCTGGGATATCCTGTATAGATAAGTGTAGATGTGTCGCAACAGAGTTAGCGGGGCAGTTTTTCGGCGTATACATATTATATAATTGTATTTTGTGCTAGCTTACCACCCGTGACGCGACACGTGAGATAGGGTGTATCGCCTTCCTCATAAGGGCCAGCTGTGCCGTTCAAGATGCGGCCCCATCGATCCAAAATGGTTGGCTGCTCCGGTGGAACTGAAATAGAAAAGAAAATTTGTATAAGGTCTAGTTCCAGAAATAAAAAAATTAAATTATAATAGTTTCGTAATTTATTGCATATCCCCGCAGGGATAAATTAAATTATAATAATTATACTTATTTTTATTATACCTATATAATAAAATATAAGATATATATTTATCCTTTTATATATATTATATATTGTTATATATATAATAATTATATATATATATATATATATATGGCTACATAAAATATTATTATTATTATTGTCTTCTATATCTCCTACGAGAACATTATTTTAGCACAATAAAATTAATATAGTAAACAAATCAATAAAACTTAAATATCAAATAATTACAAGATAGAGAAATGTAATTAAAGATGTCGAATCAGTAAAAATAACTTTTTGAACAAATTGTTTATTATTTGGTGGCTTAATTGATCATTTCATTATATTTAAATGCGTGACGTAACTTTTGTAGGATTTTGGTTGCTTTCACGAGTCGTATAGGCCTTATTAAGGTTTTACAAGTGTAGCAAGCGCTTGGACACAGCGTGGATATCAAAGATATTTATGTCACTTGAGTTATGCATTTAGCCGTCACTGGCTTCCTGCTTTGCTTCATTGTATTTGGAACAAATTCAGCGTACCTGCAATGGGATACGTGCTTGGGTATCGGCTACACCGGCGTGTAGCTATGATCGTTCACGGATTAAGCGCAGCGATATTTTTTCGCGGAATATTCGCTCTCGCGAAATCGAAGCGGAGTCGGATAAACCGGCCAGGATATTTCTCTTGCTTTTTTCATTATTTTGGAAGTTACGCGCATACGTCGAACGTATCCGGCATTTTATCAACGAGGTTGGTGGCACTCGCTATTCTCTCTTTCTTCTCTGCTCTCCTACACCGCTACAAATCGCGTTTCTCTCTCCCTCTTTCTCCTGTCCTTTGCTCATTTCCCTGCTCTTTTAGATCTTTTTCGTAAATTATTGCGTAAATTGCGGCCTTAGGTAAAGCGTCTCGACTCCTGTTTGCTATTGCGGAGTGATTTTCGGCAACCATAATCGCGTGGATGTATATATCAACGTTTTATCGATTTTTTTTTTAATTTAAAAAGTCAGTGCTCCGGTATTTTCAAAGTACGCAGTTCTCGACTAGGTAGAATATTGCTACTCGATATATCGGCTGAAGGATCTACGGGTGAGTTTACTCGACACTGCGAATCCTGCGTTTAACGATATGTGTATACGAGAACGTACACCAGCCACTCTGACGCGGCCTTTTCTCCCTTGAAACCTCCCCCGCACGTTTGCCGTACGATATTTGCTAGAAAGAGAAGTATGCGTATATCTATTGAACTGTGAAATATTCAACGCAGATTTCACAGTTCGTAGTACCGACTGGAGTTTTTTTTTTTACGAGCAATCCTAGGGCCGCTCGGCCGACTCGAGCCTTAAAAAAAATTGTTTAAACGGAGAGTACTCTCGCGTTTATGGCATGCTGTGATCTCAGCATCAGCAAGCCATAAATGAGTGATAACGCGCGTTAGCCTATAGCCGAATAAATGTTTGTATAATTAAATATGATATGTGTAACGTGTGTCGATTTGATAGATATTGCCCGCTAATAATTACCTTGTCTACTCATCTATAAGAAAATTTTTTTGCGATGTTTACGTCGAAATGTACGCCGCTCTCGTGGCTATACGTGCACTCCGACAAAAATCCCCAAAATAGCTCGAGAATCTTCGTACCGCATTAAGGAAAATTTCGCGTTAAAGAAAAACACGATCGCGGGAGGAGGTTAAGCACGAATCTAGTTTTTCTAATTGTAAGTAACAGTGACGACCAGCGTGAGCGCCAAGCAGATCATCGCGGAAAACGATCAAAAATCCGTGTATGGATAACGCATGGTTCTCTGACGGAGGCATTTAATCAAACGTTCTTCTCGCGTTCCGACAAATTGAATTTTGGAGCATCCACCGTAACATCCTCCCGCCAACACCTCGGTGGCTGGCCCGAGAGTGAGCCTTTTCTCCTCTTTTCCCGTCTTCTTCATCCGGCCGTATCCCTTTGCCGTTCTACCGCTCTCCTGCTTTCCCACTCTTTTCAGCCATCTCCTCTTCTCTCGTGATGGCGCAACGCCGCGATGAAATTTTCTCCCTATCCGCCGTTTCACCTGCCGGAACGTACCTGTAAAGTATTCACGAGGATTTATGGCCGCTTTTCAATCCATAATCGGGGTATACCCCGGGTGGAAAATAAAGCGTCATCCATCGTGGCCACGCACGTCAGCGTGCCAATCAATCGATGCCCGGCGCGTCTCTCGGTCTCACTCTCTCTTCATTTTTTTTATCTTCTCTATTTTGGTGCACACTCTCGTCTCGTCCTTTTATTTTCAACGCCGTGGCTCGAAATTTCACTCTGGTTTCCTGGTCGCTCTACTCTTCTTTTTGATCTCTTCATCTTTTTTTTTATTTTTATTTTATTTTTCTCCTTGCAGACAGCCTTGGGAGAGGCTCGGAATGGAAAGGGAACGTCGGGGAGATATCACTGTAGAATTTTCGCATGGAAAACGCCTCGCAGAAAGCCCCTTGTGTTAAGCTCGTTTGACGCTGCGCGCGCACGGACTAAGCTTCGGGCGTAGATTAATTAAATCCGCATCAAAGTCGATGCGCGAGAGCGTGCGAATTGCTTTCCTCGATGTTGCTATTCGTTTCCAATTCATTTTCTTCAAGTGCGTCCTCGTCCTTCCCTTTAGAATCGCGCTCGTTATTTATAAAATCGTAATTTTAGATATCCCATCGAGTGTATATTCTTACCTCGTAATTACGTTTTATAATACGAAAGGTGAAGATAAATTACGTAAATTACGTAAACTACGGTAAATTATTCTACGCGCAATATATCAGAATTCGTACCAAATTGCTTGAAACGCAACTTGAATCCACGTTCCATAATTATATCACTTTATATGAATAATTTCAAATTTCTCAATGCTTTATCAAATAGTTTTTGTAAAATCTAAAAGTGTAATTAAAATTAAATTGCTATAAAAGTAACAACGCATAATGATATTACAAAATTAATTCTGATTTATATTGATATTAATATTAATATAATTAAACATTATTAATGTTAACTATAATGTTGTAAAATTAACGTTTTAGATTTAATCGACTGCGCGGTTAAAGGAAGGATCAATGTCCTTCTTCCAAATTGCGCGTAACGCAACCGATATACGTAATAACAATTAAACGTCACATTTGGATGACGATGCGGCGAGCATGGTAATGTTCGCGTAACATTTAATGACATCGCCGATAATTTAGTCCAATTTACTTCGAAAAGCTGCGTATCCGGGTAAATTAAATGAGGATCATAGCATGTCGTGCATCATCCGATCTGCGACGATCCGCGACGGGCGACGACACCCCGGAGAGCTTAATTTCTACGAGACTCTGGGGGCGATATTTCGCTGGACTTTTGCGCGACCACGGCACACCTATATATATTTTCTCTCTGCTCTTTAATCCAGGATCCATCTCGATCACTCGGCAATCTCTCTATAAAAGCCGAGAAGATTATTTATTGAACCTGAGACTACGCTAACGTCAAAATAGAGACCATATCCGGCGCGATAAATAAATCGGAAATCAAGAGAAACGTTTATTTTGTTTTTTGACAGAAAAAAATAAATAAAATAAATATTTTAAAGTTTGATATCTTAAATCGACATATTCTTATAAAATATAGATCTTTGTTAAAATTCTTTCTAAGGTAAGACATGTTTGTTTAAAAAAAATGAAAAATTTCTTCATTTTGTTTTAATAGAAATTTGAGTAAGTTGGCGATATATTTGTATTTGACATATATAGATTACTTCCTTCTGTGATTCGCAACATAAAAAAATTGTTCTCAACTAATTAGCTACACAATCGAATGTGTATCTTTTCAACAGGTATGAAATAAGACATTAATATTGTGTGACAAGTTTCAATATATTTTTATCTCATGTCCCGGATTGACGCAAATCCGGGAAGGTATAGAGACATTCGGCGAAATTATTCGTCAATCTGTAAAATCGCTTTTCGTGCGGACGCGAGAGAGGCATGAAATACACGGAATTTATTTGTTATAGATTTCATTATCGGATTTAACCAGTCGAGTGAAACGAAGTCAACGAAAAATCTAAAATTAAGCAATTAACCGTCACGACGTATTGCGACATATTGCGAGGGAATGAAGTCATTCTTTATCGGAGTATCGCGTCGCGATGAATTGATGAAGCGAAAGGCGAAGGTACTAAAAGCCTGCATGATGGAGTTCTGAAAGAAAGCTAAATTTCATCTCGTTTATCGAGCAAAGCAGGCGTCTCATTTGATCACATAACAGGCATTACGTTCATTAATCGCTTGGAAGTGTTTCGGAAAGAGGGCAATATATCGTCGGGCAAAAGTATATATATGTATTCTTTTACGTGTGTGTCACAGATATTTTCTTATAGGCCCTCGGAAAGATAAAGTATTAACAAGTTACATGTCAGACGTAATGCCAAATCATATATTAAACGTGTCGCATTTATGAAACTCGATTAAGCTCGTCAAGTCACAAATGGTTAAGTTAATAAATACTGCGACGCGACGCGTGACGCTTTGATTCTGCACTTTCTTTAATTTTTTTATTTTTACTTTTAATTAATAAAAATCTGAAAAAGCTAGAGATATATTTTTGTACGCGCGGTACCACACAGATTACCCTCTTCAGTATAACGTAAGATCGATACCCCGTGCACGATACTAATCGGGAGTTACACACGCGCGCGTGGGTGTACATAGATATCTCGGAGAAGCATCGCTCGCAGGCGAAACGTAATCGTAGAGTACGCCGGTAGTTACAGATACAACATCGCTTTAGAGATCGAAGTAGCCGTTCATTTCTGCAAATAGGAAGTCTAGTTTCGCGTGCAATGTCGTACACATGTAACAGTCCGCCTCTGCAAATATGGAGTT